TTTTCTCCTTCTACGGTCTGAAGGACTTAATGAAAATATCTCCAATGAACAGCAGTGTTGATTACAACATTAACAGCTATAACAATAACATCAACAGCAACGTTTGCAACAACGATTTCAACAACAACACAAACGCTAACATCAACATGAACAACTGCAACAATCAACAAGATAGTAGTGTTGCCTCAACACCAGACATCAAGCCGCAAAATCTCTTCCAAACAAGTTTGCCCATTTCAACAAATGTTGCTAAAATAATCAACAGCTTGGCAACATCATCTTCATTGTCGTCATCCTCTTTCTCGCCTGCCAATCAAACATTCTTGAACCAATCCGCGACTAATCCTTTCAACGGCTTGATCTCTCCAAACAACAACAGCAACATTCTTAACAGTTTGAAAAACAACAACGTTTTCAACAATTTGAACAACAATAGCAACAACTTCCTTAGCAACATAAACAACAATCTGACCAAACTGGAGCCATTGGATCAGATGTGCCCAGACACAAGTGAGATTGCTCAGCGAGTTCGAGATCTGCTCTCAGCTAACAACATTGGTAGGTTGATGTTAGTGTTGTTATTGTTTGTGTTGCTGTTGTTTGTGTTGTTGTTGTTGTTGTTTGTGTTGTTGTTGTTTGTGTTGTTGTTTATTTGCTAGTGTTGTTATTGATGTTGATAACGTTGTTATTTTGTTCTTTTGTTAGCCCTTCTTCATATTTTTTATAACAATGACACAAACGACAAATAAAAAACAAACAATATGAATAAACGAACACGAACCATGCAAACAACATAACCAACAGTAATGGAATAATTGAATTTTTCAAAATAATTAATTGAGTGCAGGGCAGCGGCAGTTTGCAAGGGAGGTGTTAGGCCTGTCGCAAGGAACGGTAAGCGGGTTTGAATGTTTAATCAAGTTATTGTACAATTTAAATTATTTCATATTATTACATACTTCAAATTATTTCTATCAACAAGGTGAGTGAATTGCTATCGAAACCGAAACCTTGGGACAAATTGACTGAAAAGGGACGCGAATCCTACCGGAAGATGATGATGTGGACGCAAGATGACGTCAACTTGGCAGAACTCAAAATGGCTGCTTACAAAAATGGTTCGGCATTTTTATTAACTGATTTTCCATTTTCATTATTCAAAAAAAATTTCGATTTCTTGTTCTAATTCGGAAGAGGTGTGCAATAGTTTAAAGACAAACAAGAAAATGTCTTATACAAAATATCACAAAAACTTTCGTAGCCTCGCAGAACATTCTGACGACACCATCACCCTCATCGTCGCTTCCAGCCTTCACACCACTGCACCTACCATCACCTATCCAACCTCAACTCTCCTCGACATCCCTACCGCTACCACCACCGCCGCCGCCACCATCGTCGTCGACACTGAAGAGCGAGGAGACGATGACGACAGAAATGAGGATCACGCAGATCCTCATGCAGGCACAGGCAGCCATCCAAGGACAGGCCAACGCAAGCAGGGCATTCAATACTGTTCGTTCGCTACACTTCCAACATTTGTCTCACAATTATTTCAATGCATTCTTTCTCTTCTTTAAAAAAAATCATTTCGTTTGTGGCCATAAATTTTTCAATGAAGACAGATCACAAATTTGTTTAACGTAACATTTTTTTTTTGAAAAGCAGGCAAAACTAGATGCCAGGGCACCCAATTTGATCAGCAGCAACAACATCAACAGCAACCTCTCACCATCACCTCATCATCCATCCATCCCGCCAATAAAAATTCGCCTCAACCAAAAATGTCGGGATGCAACATCTTCTTCATTGTCCGCATCACATCTCAACAGCAAACCAGCAACAAACATTTACAACAACAATGAAACAAACAACATCAGCAGCAACAACCTTGGCAAAAAACCAGACATCAACGTATCGACGAATGACTCGCTGAACTTTGTGACAAGAATTTACAGGGAGCAATTGATGGAGCTGCTACGGACCGCTGAGAAAAATAAAAATCAAGTCGAAGTTGAAAGGTAGGCAAGCAAATGACATCCTCATAAATCTTCGCGCATTTCCAATTAAATAACGTTACCTCAGGCTGTTTACTTTTTATCCATCAATTATTTTCAATTCCATCCATTTAACAAATGTAGAATTATAATTCTGTTGGAAAATAATTTATTACTATGCGATTACGTATTAAAATCAATAATGTCATTATTTTCATTTTTTTCTCATTTTTATAATTCTATCACCATTTCCATCATTATTTGCATCCCCATCTCCATCACTATCTCCATCATCATCATCACCATCTTCATCTTCATCATCCAGGTACAGAGCGGAATTGGTACGAATTTCCACGCAAACATCATCGTCGTCCTCATCATCTTCATCATCCTCGACATCCGTGCCATCGTCATCGTCCGCATCGTCGTTGGGAAACAGGATTAGTCCAAATTGTAAGGACTTCCAGAAAATGCTATTTTGTGGACAAATTTTCATTGTCAATCAATCAATCAATTAGTTAATTAATTAATTTAATTTAATTAACATAAATAAGATTGTCAAAGGACATCACAAAATAGGATGCGAGAGTGTTGAAACAAATGCGCAAACGCATAATTACAATGCATCTTTTTATTATATATCGCCGATGAATTTATATTAAAATAACGTAAAGAAAAATTATAAAATTTAATTTTCTCAATACGGCTATTATCTTCTCTTATTTTAGCGATAAAGTGTATAAAAATATTTCAAGACCTTCAAAACTTCGCCTAGTTCAAAATTACAATTTTCTGACCAAACGGTTTTTCATCGCACGAAGGTCTGCAGCTTAAAAATGAAATCAAAAAAGAACCTCTGGATGCATTAACGGATTTCAACAACTATAACAACACCATTAGCAATAGCATCAATAACAGTGGCAACAACAGCAACCATGGTAATGATTACCCGGAAGATCTCAGTCTCATCAGAAATTGTGAGACTGGCCTGGTTAGAATGACGTAGGATTGATCGATCGATTGATTTGAAGTGTTTTGTTTTTGTTGAATGGTTGATTTATTGATTGATTAGTTAGCTGATTGACAATAACATTAATTGTTAAACAGTTGCTTAAACTAAATAAATGCATACATAACATACACACATTTATCTGCAGTTGTCTTGCAAGGAGGAACCAAGGTCTCCGTCAAATAGCGACAAACAATGCTCACCAACAAACAAGTACAACAACGGCTACAGCAGCTCGCCACTCCAAAACATAGAATGCATCACAAACTCACTTTACAACTTCCAGCATGCAACAACAACTGCAACAAACAACCTACAGCAGAAAAATGTTTCAGCATTGTCTTCATTCCAACATCAGCAGACAAGCACAAGTCTAACGCATGCGATTCAATCACATCAGCAACAACAACAGCTACTACCTCAGCAACAGCTGACGTCATCATTGAAGGCGGTCCTTCCTCCCATAGACCCCGTCATCTGGGAGAGGTGTGTGGATCTTAACACCGAAGAAATCGTTCAAAAAGTTAAAGAAATCCTTAGCGAAAACTGCATCAGTCAGCGGCAGTTTGGAGAACAAGTCGGTTAAAAATTGAAACAAATGCTCATTATTCATAACAATCAATGAACGACTTAAGAAAATGAATCAATAGATACTACAACATGTTATGCATAACTCAATCTAAAATACTGTAGTTCATTTAACGCGTTTAACAATTTGATTAATAATTCATGTATCCAACTAACCGAGTACCAATGATGAACAAAATAGGTTCTCGGTCTGTCACAGGGAAGTGTGAGTGATCTTCTAGCCCGGCCGAAGCCCTGGCTCATGCTGACCCAGAAAGGTCGAGAACCATTTGTTCGCATGAAGTGCTTCCTCGATGATTCTACCTCTCTGGATTCGCTTATCAGCAATCATTATAAGTTGACCGACAGGGGAGGGAAGGCTGTTCACGGATGCAACAGCACCGTCGGCACTAACGATTCCAACTTGGGAGATCATTGTGCTCTAGCCATGACAATGAACGGCAAAAAATATTCTGTCGTTGAAGTTTCTAACGACAATTTAGTGAACGGTTCGATGAACGCTCAGTGCAATATGGACGACGCTAATGACGTCAATATGACTGATAAAGTAGAGAAAGATGCGTTGGCTGCATGTTTTTTAGAAAACAAACTAGGTTCATATAATTTGTTATCGTTTCATTATTTTAATAATATATTATAGCGATTTCTGAAGTTTGATTTTTCAACTAATCTTTTGAATATCAAATTTATAGGAAACAAAAAAATACTGAGTCAATTAACTTCAAAAGCATCAACACAATCGTCCGATGACAGCAAGCAAAACAACGACAGCAACAACAGCCACGTAGCTGACGACGGTGACGCGGATGCTCACACTTCAGCAACAGCAGCCACACCCCCTGCGGCTTCAACATCTCCGGCATTCACAACTTCCGCAGCACAACTGCCAACAACAAACTTATCTTCCTCACCACCAACAGCATCATCATCACCAGCAACATCATTGTCGTCATCGCCACCAGTGAACCAACCAGTCTCATCAAGGAAATCTCGAATATCGTTCACCGAAGAACAGAAATCAGTTCTACACGAGACCTACAGACGCGATCCTTACCCTCTGCACACGACCATCGAACGACTGGCGGTTGAATTAAAAGTTGGCGTCAAAACCGTCGTCAACTGGTTCCATAATCACCGCATGAGAGATAAAAATAGATTTGTAACAACAAATATCGGCCAAAAAAATTTCAACAACAACAATAATAATAATAATAATGCAATAAATAGCAACAGCAGTTCAATTATCGGTGCAAACTGCAGCAGCAACAGCAGCAACAACAGCTGCAACGGCTACAACGATGAACTTGCTATCAGCGATATCACCCCGAACGAAAATTGTTTAGCAGGCCGCCTCGCTGACAAGGACTACCAGGACAAAAATGTTGCAGGACAACTTTTGACGCAACAGATTCTTTCGTTGAAGTCCGAGGATCAATCCAGCCTCAGTTGCGATAGTTCATCGGATTTCTATCGCTACGGCAGAACAGGCAACAGTGTCATCAACAACAACAGAAACAACAACAGTGCCGACAGCAACAACAACAATGCCGACAGCAACAACAACGAAAACAGCGGTGTGAAAATAGACAGAAAAATAGTTGCGAGTAAGAGGAAGCGAGCACGTCCACAAAAGATGAGCCATCAGAACGTTTTTGAAAGCATCGACAACAATGTTGACAACAACATCTCAACAAATTATTTCAACACTCACATTGAATCCAGCAAGAGGAAGACAGATGATGGTGAGGGTGATGATGATGATAACAACGAGTCAAACAGCAAGAAACTGAAAACCAACAACGCCAATGATGAGGACGATGGTGATGATGGTGACGACGACGAAGACGACGATGATGATGATTTGAAGAACAACAACAAAGCCAACATCGCACAGAAACAACAAATAAGCATTCGTTGACTAGAGTTAGCCGGCACAACTTTTCCACAACAACATCAGAAGTCTGAATACACACACAAACATACACACACAAACAAACACGTGTAATATATATCGTTTCTATAATAAAATTATTTATTTATCCTTTTTAGTCATTTTTTAAAATTATAATGTTTGCGTATAAAGTGTTAACGTTTGTGTACTGTGTATTATTATTCGTTCGTAGATGACACCGAGATGCAGAGACAAACAAGAACACACACACACGGACATATATAAAACAATATATCTATATTTACATATATATATATATATATATATATATATATATATATATATATATATATATATATATACATACATACATATACTTACATTTAATCATGATTTAATTTTTGCTAAAGTTGTATTAAATTTGTATATAAACATATATATAATGTATATATATATATATATATATATCGCAAGTATGTGTGTATATATATATATATATATATATATATATATATATATATAATTATTGCATAACGCAAATATAGTTATAATTTATAATTTCTACAATTATTTATTATTCGTTTGATCACTTTCCCTCGACTTGCAGTTCGTACTGTAATGTGTAAGAACAGTGTGAGCGTAGGATCAAATTTTTAAGTTATGGTAACAAGCTCAACGTGGTACAACAAAACAAACATAGTTATACTGATACCAACAACAACAATAATAATAATAGAAATATTATTGATGTTGTTGTTGTTGCTATTATTATTATTATTAATGATAATAATAGGTGCAAAACACTTAACTTATTAACTTATGATAAATCTATCTATCCTGTAGAATTGATCAAGATAAGATGACTTAAGTTTAATGTGTATAAAGCATTGTATGTGATGCAAGCAGGAAAAAAATATAACTCCATGGTAATATTCTGAGAAAAGTCATGTCCAAAGTTCCAAGCAACTAACCAAACCACATTTTCTTGTTTGTCGTATGTGGAAATCCACACACACACACACACACACACACACACACACACACACACACAAGTAGCATTTGCATACTTACACATACGTGTGTACTGTACACATGTGTGCGGTTTTGTTTTGTTTTTGTATATAAATATGAATAAAGATTACATTATAAACATATTAGATATATTATTTTTGTATTTTTATATTGAACAATACACTTACCTACTCACACACCTACCGACCAACCTACCTTCCGACCTACCTACCTACATACCTACCTACCTACCAACCCACGTACCAATCCACATTAAGCCAACTTGTTTTTTTTGTTGTTTTTTTTCGTCATCGTTCGTCTGTTTTCTTCGTCGAAAAGTATTTTTATATCTTTTACTAGCGTTTAATACATAAATTATACACGCACACAGAGAAATGTGCGTACACATAGACAGTTGTACCCGGACAAACAAACAAAGTCCAAGCACACATACCTTTAAATACATCCACAGATATACAAAAACATTCGTGTCCAAAAAGCACGCAACGCACACACAACAATAGACACACACATACACGCACATACACGCACACACACATACAAACACCTCACACATACATGCATACTCACATACATACAAGCCACACAAACATCAATTTACATTGTTTTATTCATGCTGATTACAATGATTTACATTCATTTACATTGCTTTCGTACATATCATAAATATTCCTTTTAGAATTAATATTAATTAATATATATATTTGAAATTATTCCAAAATAACGAATTAAATTAATTGAGTAGTGAAAATTAGGCCGAATTATTACGATGAACAAATTATTATTGACCTGTATTTGATGTGATGTGATGTGATTGTCAGTCTTCTTAGATGTGTGTGTGCGCGCGTGTGGTGTGTTGAGTCTGTGTTTTTCAATTTTAACACAACGAAATTATATCTAATTATAAAAATTGTATATATGTATATATATATATATATTTATACACATATACATATATATTAATCCAATATATATATATATATATATATAAATATATATATATATATATATATATATATATATATTTATACACGTATTAGTAATTTAACAAAAAAAATTATTTTCTTTTTGTTGAAACTCTTTAAAGGTGATAAAAAATATCACATGCAAAATGATTTCGATGATCAGTTTGATTGATGATCATCATCATCGCCACCGTATCACAAGATGGTAATACGGTGGCGATGATGATGATGATGATGAAAGCAACGCTGATAATGATTTTCGTG